ATATTTATTCACCCAAACCATATTTGGTATCAATGTTATACCTAACACATGTCTAGAATTTTACAAAAATGGCAACATGTCACAAGATTTTGGTATTCCAACCTGAAATTCAGAGAGATGTTTGGCAAGAATGGGACCTGTTTTTTAACACAAAGGTAATCAGGAATCATTTATCATTATCTGCTTATGCCCTCAGGAATTGTTTTCTCCAATGGCCTCACCTGGAAACTGCAGCGACGCATTGGCGTCACTTCTCTGCGGAAACTTGGCCTGGGGAAGAAAAGCATTGAGCATCAGATAGAAGACATAGCTCAGACGATGGTGGAGATCTTTAGACAAACAAAAGGTATGTCATTTGGGATAATGATTCAAATCCCCATCTGCCAATCCCCCCCCCCATTTTGAGTATTTTAAATAAAAATTGTTAGAAATTCTGTTTGTATAAAGTACCACATAGAGCAAACAAAGAGTCACCATGTACTTTACTTCTCAATTATATTACTGTAACAGGAAACTCTCCTCAGAACATATAAGAAACCATAAATTATAAGCATAGATGCACACTAAACACTGCCATCTAGTGGCTAAATAATTCTGTACTTGTTGTAACACAAAATACATTCTAACATGTATTCCAACAAAAATAGATGTATTGATTTGGGTTTTTTTGTTTGTGTTTTAAATGGATAGTTCTCATTTCTCTTATTTCACCCCATCAACCTCCCAAATTGATTATACAGGGGAAATGACAAGATGAACTACTTCTATTTTATTGTAAGGCTACATTAACAAACATTAACAAGTCTGAAAGTTCAAATCTGCTCCCGTTTCTTTTTACTGGCTGAAATTAGATGGGATCCTTTTGAAGTTTCATTTTCTGCTCATTACTGATTACTCAGTTTGGGCTCCTCCCCCTTTTATATAATTATTTCCTATGCAGCATCTCTTCACCCATCTGTTCCCAAGGTCATTCTCACATTCCAATACATCACCTTAGAAGTCCTGAGCTTTAGTATCTAGGTGTAGCGGTCCTAAAATCTTATATATGAGCCAGCAGTGTGCTGCATCCACATCCCATTTCTGGCCTCCACTCCGTCTGATTTGGGCCTCTGCACGCCCCATTTTCCAACCATTCTGATCCCTGCCTCCCAGAATGGGCTGAAAATGGGGCACAGGAGGCCAAAAATGGGGCGTACAGAGACTGAAAATGGGACATGAAGGCTGAAAATGGGGCATGTGGAGGCAGCAATAGGCAATGGCAATCACTGCAGCCTGAAACAGCTGATCATTGGGAGGACGATCCTACCAACAATCAGCTGCTTGTGCTAATCAGGCTATGCTGAAGATGACCAGGCTGTTTGTGGCTTATTTATTTATTTATTTATTTTATTTATTTGATTTGCCAATTGTTTACAAGATAATAAGTATAAGT